CTGGCTCGATGTTATCTATATCAGCCACGAGTTATCTGACGACTTTTTTTAATGATCATCACCAAACTTACAACAAGACTTTTAATTACAAGCTATTAATAAAGAAGTATTATTTAAGTAAGAAGAATGAAAGTAGAGGAGTAAATAAACCATTATACTAGCAGACTGAACTGCAGATCGATGTTGCACAGGCGCAAAAACCTTTCGAAGAGCATGAAGATTTGATCGATCCTCATCCTAGTCCTTTTTTTAGTGACATGACTTAAAGAAGCTGCTGTAAGCGATGTGCAGTTCGGGGGAAGGAACTACGCATGAAGGTGGAGAATCAAGAAGATCTTATCCAGGGCGACTCGTGGTCGTTTCCTGCTGGCGGCATTATGTGACTCCGCAGCAGGACTTCTAGGACATTGTTGTTCTGTTACAAGATCCGCTTCTAGGACGTATGTAGATGTGAAGATCACGACGAATATGATCCGATTGTTCCTATTATAAGTCCTTGAAGAAAAGGAGATCTAGATCTACATCTATGACAAAATTCGATCCCTAGTTGGTTCAAGATCATCAAGAAGCTGAGATCCCCATATTGAAGTGGTTGCTAAGCACAGCACGACGAAGATCCTTCTTGGGTAGAAGAAAGAAGATCCCGCCCTATCAACAGATCATTTGAGATTGTAGTCATACAGAAAAAAGCGGATCTAAACAATCAAAAATATGTGCATCTTCTATAAATCTGAAATGCAGAAAGCCATTTTCGTTGTTTTGAACTCTTTCGCTTACTAGAGAGCATCTCGCTTGCGAGCTGTTAAAACAACTACTAAAACTAGCTTCAAACTTCATCAAGACTTTGACTTCGTTTGAATTTACTTATCATCGGGAAGGAGAATTACTGCTATTAGTTTTATCGCTTTTTCTACTTGTAACAAAAAGACCTTGTTTACTACTGCTGCTACTACTAGCACAACGTTTGTATCTTCCTACATCAACGTGTATAAAGAGGAAAAAAATGAAGACTGCTTGTACTTTGTTGCTCGCCACAACCACTTGTGGCTTGGCACTTCCGAGCTCGACCGCGATGCCTCCGTACGAGCAAGTCGAAAAGGGTTGGGTTCAATCGAAGGAGACCTACTCGTCTATGTTTCTTAATGGCACTTTGCTCACCAATGACCAAGTCAAGGGCGTCGTCGATAACCGCAGTGGTCGCATGCACCAAGACTCGTGGGTTGCTGCTGTAAAAAATGCTTTGCAGGTTGACGAGGTGAGGGCGTCTGTGAACAGCATGGTGAGTGCTAGCGAGGTGTGCAAAGAAAACGGAGGTGTCGACTGCTTCAAGAAGGGGTTTGTGAGCGCTATCGCAGACAAAGTCGGAGCGCCGTCGGTGGAAACGGATTGGTTCAAGGGCACTATCACCGAAGAGCTCACTGAGAAGGCCACGCCTGTGGTATAACCTAATATTTTTTATACAGCTCTTTATTTCTGAGGAGTAAAAAAGACGATATCTATGTGATTCTATGTGATCGCGATTTCATCTTTTTACCGCTGTTGTCTTGTTTGTCTTTATTCTGCTCCTTGAGGTCAACGTCATGTCATAGAGTTAATGGTAATGCATCGCTTTCGAATTCAATCAAATAACAACTTAACAAAACCTCCAGGTGTTGCAGTTGGTTAAGTTCATGGGCACCAATGGTATGCTCCCCTTGCTCGAGAGCGTGCAAAAGATGGACGTTGCCGCCATGCGCAAGCACGGCTTGGGTCACCTTTTGACCCAGATGCACGAACTCGCAAAGAGTCCGATTGCTCCGATCTTGCTGAAGCACGTCAAGGAAGAGATTTTCGGTTCCTCCAGCACTCAGGGATGGAAGAAGATCTGGCATGCGGCAAAGGTGTTGTTCAAGGCAACAAAGGACCATAATGACCCTCAAGTTGGTATTTTCGGAAAGATGCTGACCGCGCGCGTTGAACAACACGCTGGAACAACGGGAGGGGCCCCGGGAGCTGCTGTCAAGGGAAATGATCAAGTCACCCTCACAATCGACGGAGCAACCAATGAAGTCCAAGACATGGTCGCAGTGCCTAAGAGCGATTATGGTGCTACTTCGTACGCAGAGGCTTGGAACGCTCTGGAGAAAAAAATCACCGAAGAAAACTTCGGACGTGCCCTAGGGCAACAGGACGTCCCCCACGACAACCGTGGATACTTTTTGGAGTTGGTCGACTTGGTTGAACGCGTTGTGTCTCAGAACTTGAGCATTATCGAGGATATCTTCGATCGAGAATTTGCATTGAAGGTGCAGGAGGTTGCTCAGCTCTTAGCTAAGAATGCCAAGAACATGCTGTATGCCCAGACTGAGAATTCTACTCCCCAGTATACCATCTACGTTCTTACGAACAGCAAGTTGCACCAGATGCGTACCTCTATCCTCGAAGCCACCTTTTCTTCTCTCTTCCGCTTCGAAGAGACATCCACCTTCGCAATCTTGCGTTTGTTGAAACTGAAGGAGTCTGCTGCTGTGCTCCGAATGATCGTCAAGGAGCTACTTTTTTCGGAGAACCAGATGGATTACCTCGTTGACGCTATGCATCACGTTACGTATAAAATGACGCAGTTTATGTTGGCGGAACGTGCAAATGACGCCAATATTCGCAACATGCACATCGACATGGACTCCGTGCTTAAAAACGCCTGGGAAGGTGCATTCCGTGCTGCCATTGTCCCTCCTCAAATCAGGGACGCTGACGTACTACCCAGAAGAAGCACAATCGCAGCCAGAACCAGAATGAACGAAGACGCCGCGATCGCCGCCAGACACCGAATGATCGCGGAAACCAGAAACCGAATGATCGCGGACGCGGAACCACAGGAGCCCGAATATGATCCTGCCGTTGGTGTTATCTTAAGACCTGAATTGGAAGTAGCTGTGGCTGACTTTCCTGAGCCCGACGAGCTAGCCTTGACACTGGAAGCTCTGGACCTCCGTGAACCAAGTGGCCGACTAACTCTCGCGAACCGGAAGGTGGACGTGCGTGGCAAATCTATCAAGCTTCCGGGTGGACTTTGGTACCAGAAAGCTGATGGAAGCGAAATCACTCTAAAGGCAGGGGAAGGGAAACTCCTTGATCTTCCTGAGGCGCAGCGCCAATACATGGATGCCCATAAGGGTCACTTGTTGAAGACTTTGATGAGGATGTACGCTTTGCAGGCGGAGAGCTTCTTTGGTGTTTTCACCACTGAAGATGGTGCTAAGGCGGTGAAAAAGCTCAAAGAATTGGTCTTCGACCAATTGAACCGCAACAAGCTGTTTGAAGGGGGTTTTTTGGCGGCGATAAAAAAGAATCTCACGCGCATGTTCAACGCTGTTCGCAACCACTCTATCCGCAACAATTTGGTCATCTTCCGCATCAACGGAGAGCCAACTACCCTCTTGGTGCGCGAACTTCGCAAGGTGCGTTTTTTTGTCCCGCTTGAAGGTGAAATCGTTGAGATCACTGAGGAACCGGCGAAAGACGAGCCCGTTGCTCCGATCGCCGACCCTGCTCCACCAGCCAACGAAGAAGGTCTTGCAGGTTGGCAAATCGCTTTGATAGTGGTGCTTCCGACTTTGGCTGTCATCGCGGCAGCTATTGGAATCTACTTCTACTGCAAGAGTAAGAAGCACGACAAGGGTGCTGCTGCTCAAGATAAGGCCGCTGATGCTGCTGCTGCTCAAGATAACTTCTGGAGCAGTGACTCTGATGAAGAAGGCCTCTTGCAGGATGACGAGGTGATCTAA